TTGTACACATCAATATATGAAACACCAGTGTCAACTAACACATCAATAATGTAAGAATGATAGCATGAAAAGTTAAACAATAATTCAACATAGGAATTTGTAGGGCTAACTTCAATAGTCTTTCCAAAAATTTCATGAGATTTTTTACTCATATCTTTATTTATTTTTTGAATTATTTCTTGTACTCCTTTTTGGAGTTCCTCTCTAAATAATCCTCGTTCCTTTAATTTTGCATTTAAAGTGATAGAGAGATTATCGAGAGAAACCATTTTTAGGTTTTGTGTTTTTCAATTGATATCTTTGATGAAGATTTATTGATAATAGGGATACTTATTGTTTTGTATCCTATTATTTCTTCATCTGAACTTTCATATACACAAGATTCTTGTACACTAAATTCCTCAACGATAGCCTTATATTTGTTTTTTGTTCTTTCTAGGCTACTTGTAAAATTAGATCAAGTAAAAAAAATTGATTTTTGTATAGGTTCATCTAGATAAATAACACATTTGTTTTCTCGAATTGTTAAAATTTTGAGATTTTTTCAATCTAGGGTTTCTCCAAAAACCCATTTCTTAGGCCATGATAATTGTTTTATGTAACGCCCTCAAAATAATAACATTAAACCCATCAATATAGACATACATTGATATATATAAAAGTTCCACATTCTTCTATTCAACAGAGTTTCATTACAAAAAGTATTACATGTTAACAACAAAAGCAAATGCCCTAAAGGCTTACAGCTTTCCAAGCTAACACTTGGTTACAACAAAAGAGTACTAACTCATTTACACATTAAGCCCTTGGCTTGAATATACATGTAATACATCAAAAGTCTGCCCGCCTCTAGCCTCCCAAGCTACGTCCTTGGAGGTGGCATGCTACCTGTACCTGAAAATGATGTCCCCATATAGGGTGAGCCACGGCCCAGCAAAAATATACTAAACCAACTATAAGCAATGACTAAAAGATTAGCAATTGATAGATGGCCAACACCGATACATCCGTATATATCACGTTACAATTTCATAACATACGAGTCTGTGTCACTTTCCATTTTCCATCCTTATTTAATAGATAAGCATATTAGCTATATCAACACATCAACAGATAAACATCTTACGCATCAACAGATAAGCATATAAGCTATATCCACACATCACTAGACAAGCATAGGAGCTGTATCTACACTTCACTAGACAAGCATATGAGCTGTATCTACACTTCTCAAAGATAAGCCTATGAGCTGTATCTTCACTTCTTTAGACAAGCATATGAGCTGTGTCTACGGAGTTCATCCCCCATCTCCTCCCGATCCTATCCGGTTTAGAGGTACATCCCCCATCTTCCCCTAAACCGCGGAGTACATCCCCCATCTCCTCCTCTACACACAATGCATATAAACACAAGGGTTCTATACACAATCAATCAATACATAGAATTAATGTATTCAATTCACGATCATACTCTATGACACATTCACTTGATTGGTTTTAGTTTGCCTAATCATCATGCATTGTCTACAACAATCAAGACTATCCTCCACCGATAGCCCAAAGCAGTTATTTCTAAATAGAAAATAAATGCACAAAATGGATATTAAATCGATATTTCAATTAGGTGAGCAATAAATGATCCAACCACACTCTTTAGTCCCATACATTCCCGATTTCAACATTCTCAATTCAATTCCGCATTTCCAACAATTAATTATACAAATTAATTAACCAATGTAATTAGGGCATATTCCATAATTAACATCACAACCCTTAGGTTCCATTTCCATTAATGTTTTAACATTAATTTCACTATTCCATGCCAAACATGCATTTAGGTTTTATATGATTAAAACCCCAACTTTTGTAAAATTACACAAAGGCCCGAACTTTCTCAAAATTACCCAACAACTCCCAACATATCAAAATGCCAAAATTTAAAGACAAAACCCATAAAGACGAGTAGGATATCCCTACCTCAAATTCGGAGTTCAAGGGGTGAAGCTGAAGAAACTCAACGTGCTCCAAAACTCGATATTTTCGGATCAAAACGTAGCCCTCGACGATCAACACAACTTTTGTAAAGGCCAAAGGTGAGGAAACAACTCTAACTAGATCAATACCTAGAGAGAAGGCAAGGTTCTAGAGAGAGAGGCTCAACAATGGAGTTTTGGAAAAGTAAGAGAGAGAAATGAATCTGAAAAAGTGATTGTAAAAGTCAAAACACGGAGCTTTAAACCCGACGCCCCGCTCGAGCGTGGAAACTTCCGCTCGAGCGTCACTCACAGACTCCCGCTCGAGCATCCAAACTGCCGCTCGAGCGCCGAATACACACTCTCAGTACTTTTACAGAACCAGGCCTCTGGTCGAGCGTCCAACTCCCCGCTAGAGCGTAACACACAAACTCCCGCTCGAGCGTCCAAACTCCCGCTCGAGCGGACAACCCTGCAGAGAAAATAATGGAAGGGTGATTTTCCCGCTCGAGCGCCAAAAGCCCCGCTCGAGCGGACAGACCAAAATCTGGGCATCTACACTTGGTTCCTAAGCTCAACCAACCTGTTTTACACCTGCCCAACACAACCCAAGACTCAAATACAAAGAGTAAAGGATGTAAACGAGATGTACACAACAACCAATGAAAAGGGAAACCGGGATCGCTATACTACACAACGCTCGCAGCACAACAGTACAGAACCAAACAAACAAAAAAACACCGATATTTGGTCAAGATGGCAATACAAGCAGTGCATTGGATTTCCCTACTCCATTCTGAAAACAAACCATTCCTATTTCATCTATTCAATCCACAAAACACTGATTTCCCAAAGAAAATCTCATCGTAGGCCCCAAAAAACTCTCAAACTGTAACCCTAGATTCACATCGCCTTACCACCGTCGTCGGCCACTGCTATTCCACTTCATCTCACCGCTACGAAGGTTTACATCGGAAGGAGGGTGGTTCGTTGTTCCGTGTTTCCCGTCGGTTGACTGAGTGTGGTCCATCAATTTCCATACCCACCCACAATGAGGAACAAAAGTAAGCAACATCATTCCACCTTCTGTTTTTCAATCATAATGTGATCACCGATGTATATATTTACATTGCCTATTACTATTGTTATTTTTGGATTTGATTTTGTAAACATCAATGATGTGAACATTCACATTACTATTCAGTAATGGATAAACACACATTAGATTAGTTAGTGAGTAAATATTCAAACTGTGACATCAATGTCAGACTTGTTAGTGTTGTTGGTTATTGATGGTCATGAAATAATAAAATTCCAAACTATGGATGGTTGTCAATCTTGTTTTGGTTACATGTGAATTCTTGTAGGCATGTTGTAAATAATATCATATTATTTCACTTGTTATTGATTAACATCAATGTCAATATGTACATTCTAAACATAATGTCAATAATTACATTCTAAACATAATGTTAATATTCACATTGTAATATTCTGAACATAATTTTAATATTCACGTTGCGAATATAATGTTAATATTTATATTGTCACATTCACATTGAATATTCACACCATATATTTGGCTATGAATATTCACAGTCAAACATATAAGTGTGATGATGTGAAGATTAACATTGTGTATACGTCGTGTTAGTTTAATAGTTGTAATGTGTGACTGTTCTCACATCTTCATGTGAATGTTGGTTTGTCATGTGCTATTGCATCTTCACGTGAACATTTGCACCAGCTATTCACATACTATTTCACCATCACCATCCCATTATTCATATGGCATATAATAATTTACACGTATCATCACTATTCATTTGTGAACAGTAATATTAAATTTGTTTGTATTTGAACAAACAGGTCTTTCCTATAGATTTGATGGCAAAAGAAAGAGAGTGGAATCCCGTGCCAAAGGAAAACTCGATCAAACAGCTAGTTCCTAACAAGTGAACATGAAAAAGGTCAACTACCGGTCAAATATTGTCACGGCCCAAACCCGCCCTTAAGGGGTTAGCGTCGTAACCGGCCAGTAATCCATGATTACCAACGGCCTGTTTTACAATAATGACAATAATACAATATAAAGGGGCAAGCGGAAGCCAATCAATAGTAACATACATCATCCAATGAGCTGTGAGGACCTGAATGGAAATAAACTTTCATACACACATACTCGAGCGCCGGATGCACTCTCCCAGCATTTATACAGAACCAGGCCTCCGCTCGAGCTTCCAACTCTATGTTCGAGCGGCACTCAGACAACCCCGCTCGAGCGGCCAATACCACGCTCGAGCGTACAACGCTGCACAGGAAAATACTGAATGGGTGTAATCTCCGCTCGAGCGCCAAAACCCGCGCTCGAGCGTACAGGCCAAAACCTGGGCAACTAGTTTTGGTTTCTAAACTCAACCAACCTGTAACAAACCTGCCCAACACATCCTATAACTCAATTATGAAGTAAAAAGGATGTAAACAAAATAATAAACAACTACCAACATCCACGGACACATGTCCGGATCACTGTACAACAAGGGTAAACCCGGGATCGCTATACGACTTGCTACTAACATTCCAAGCTCCTGCAACATTTTTGGATGGTGATATTTTTAACCATTAGTTATGCAATAATGCTACAGTGACTAAATTTGGAATGAAATGTAATACATCAGCAACACATTAAATGATATTCAAAATTTGATGGCCATATATAAGGGAAGAGTCACAGTCAGAGAGTGTTGGTGGGATAGACAATAGTTGTGCCATTGTGAAGCCAGTGGCTAGGGTTTAAGGTCACTCAGGGAAAGGTGGTCCCAAATACAATACAACATGTTCTGTGCCATGCTGACACTACTGGTGCTGCTGCTGAGCCCTGCATATGCATTTCATGGGACCACAATACATACATACATACATACATACATACATACATACATACTGTAGCGCCCTCAAAATCAACCCATTATATATATATATACCATTGACATGCATTATTTAAAGAAAACAATTTATTTAGTGAATCTTTACCTTTTCGTGGTTGCGGATGAACCCTGATCTGGAAAGCCCACCAGGTAATATTTGCTGCTGCCATGACTTGTCCAATCATTTATTACAACGTGACAGAGGTAAAAAATGGGCGGGCTTGCTGTTGGTCAAAACGGATTACGTATTAAAACAATCTAATTTAAACTCGTCCATTTAACAAACAGCTTTAAACGGATTGGATTAAACTAGGTAAGTGTAAAACAAATCAAGAGAAGCAGCTAAAGAAACTATGGCCCCTAAAATTGTGTTTAGATTATGGATAATCCCTGTCCAAATTCATAATTCTCACTTTCTTTCAAAATTACTACCCAAATCTATGATCCAAACAGTCACAAGACAAGACAAGTGACCAACAAACAATATACATCCTCATATCCTGTCCACAGCATCAATTTCCACAAAAACTAAAGTTCCATGTAATCGTGTAACATTAATTGCAGTGTTCAAATACCATATTTCAAATTAACTGGAGTCATGAGTCACAGCGATATTGCAAAATGAACAAGGATCGTTTACAACAATACCCAATACAACATCTATAGAGCAAAGAGGTTCTGGATATGAGAATGCTTGATGATACAACTTGTAAAAACTACAACAGAATGCCAAGATCATTTAGTCCAGAAGTCCGGCTAGTTTACAGATTTCAATGGAATCAACCAGAGTTTCTTCTATCGGTCTGTAACTCCAACCCAGCTTCTGCAATTTCTCTGAACTGAGCTTTTCTTCTTCCTTTCCCTCAGTAAATCTGGCAATGTGTAATTGAATGAAACAGCAAATTTTAACCCAACAAAGGTAACCCATAGTAATAATTCAGCTACACTTATTGGTGATAGACCACAGATATAATTCAACTGCTAATACCTAATCTATTATATAATATAAAATTAAAAAAATGAAAAAGTAATTCGTACAGCAGGAAAATCCTTTTAGATGAATATATTATGGAGAGACAGAAACTTACTTCTTAGGATAATTGTAGTTCGGGTAGTTTTTCTTGAGTATTTCCACCAGATCTTGTGACTTGATCATGTAAGCTGTGCATATATACCTTCCTTCGGCTTCGAGCTTCTCATATGCCAATAGCAGTGCTTCAGCTACATCTCGTACATCTACTATCATCCTCAAATTGTTTTCGAATTCATCATATCCCTCTGTAAATAACAGGATTGCCAGAAGTCAGGACATCAAGTGCTACAGTTTTCACTGACAAACCATTTTCAAGAAGAAAAAACTATATACCAAATGACAAGTAATAAGCAACGTATTGATGAAGTCATGGCACAACTTATGAAAAATTATGCACTGCTTGAGTGCCTTTCAAGTGCGCTCTGAGCAAGCCTCTGTGGGCTCCCATTATGCAGAAATCCCAGCACCCTGCTCAAGCACACTTTCAAGTGGGCATCAAGAGCAGCTCTATGGACTTCTGTGAAGTTGAAATGTCACCACATTTCTTTAAACCTAGGGCTCTAGACATATGCAGAGCTCCCAGGGGGCACCTCGCTCGAGCGCTCTTCGATCGGTGCCCTTGGGACTTGCCCAATTAATCTTGTTTTGAATAGTTTCCGATCATAAAGACCACAAGACTAAGCATAGGTTATTCTAGTCAAACTATGATATGAAAAGCATGTGTCCTAGACTAATACAAGATATCATATGTAAGTAGGATCGAAGCACACTTTGCATTATCTCTAAAGATCTTTAATCTTGATCAGTTACAGACACTAACCTATTCTCACTAACACGCATTTTGTCTATGGAAATTAGCAAGGCATTAAATCACTTTACAAAATACTCAGGAATAAAGGGAACATGATCTCTATCTGCTGGCAATTCATTTGCATGATGTCATCTTGTGTAGCGCCCTCAAAATCAACCCATTATATATATACCATTGACATGCTCTGCTGGCAATTCATTTGCATGATGTCATCTTGAATACTGTCATGGAATCTGTGAAAATCCAAATCATCTATAAAAATTTTTACAAAATGTTAGTTACCTCAATTTATTTGGCTGTGGAGCTCACTAGGTTGGATTGTTAAGTATTTGCACGTGCCTTCTCTTCCCATTTTATTTTTTTATTGCATCTTTCTTTTACTTTTTTCCTGTGTGTGTATTTTCAGGGGTGGGGGATTGGTTCCACAAGATTGATATCCAGCTTCAAGTGTTCCATTTAAGTGCAACCAAAGTTGACATGCTGTTTCAACATCAACCCACATCCAACGCTTTAACATTTTTGCTTTTTTGAAGAAAGCAAAAATGCAGCATGTGTTTGCACAACATTTATTTGTGCATCCGTACACATCAAATTATACACAAGAATGAGTATGATTATCTGTATGTACACATGTACATTTATTATTTATACATGCTTTTATGACCACTTATATGCCTGTAAGTTCTCACATAAGTATTATACATACCTTTATGCCTATATACAAATTTATATATTTATATATGCATATTTTTCTACATAGAGATGCATTGTAAGTACTTTTATCCATACATATATGCTACACATGTCTTACTAAAGTCAAAAAATGCACTTATTTAGTTTATCCCAAACAATACCTAAATTGATTTTTAAATGTATCCATACCTAATTGTACATTATATGACCACAAGCTATTATCAAAAGTAATTTCATATGCATATTAATAAAGATCATGGAAAGAAAAAAAATAGCAAATCTGGAATTTTACATGAAACACATTTAGGACATCAAGAATTAAATATTTGGAATAATTTCAAGTCTTCATATCATTATAGTATGTTTTAGTAATTAAGGGTATAATGGTAATTCCAACAATTGTTGAACATAGGTTGTAGGGGTCGCCCATGGGTTTTTTTTTGGGTCAAATTATTAAATGGGTCATTATATATGGGTTTTATTATGTCTAAAATAATTTTACTAGTCAAAAGTTCAAGTTTTCTATTTTGATATTGGAGTAGAATTAGAAATCATTACAGTTTCCTATTATGATTGAAGTAGAAATGGAAGTCATAGTTGGTCTAGATCTAAAATATTAGTAGTTGTTAAATATTTTTAGTTTCTATTTGATTTATAGTCCTTATAGAATTAGGAGAGTCTTTAGCTTATAAATATGTAACGCCCTCAAAATAAACCCATTATATGTATATCATCAACATGCATTACTTAAAGAAAACAATTTATTCATTCATTCATCAGAGTATTACTAAATAAAGACATTACATGTAACATCAAATTAAATGCCCTATGGGCTTACATCTTTCCAAGCCAACACTTGGATACAAAATATGTGTTCAAACTCAAATACAAATAAAGCCCTAGGCTTGTTTATTTATCAAATAAAAACAAACAACTAAAGATAGTCTTCAAAATGCAACTCCTTCCAAGCTAAGTCCTGGGAGGTAGCTTATCACCTGGACCTGAAAATGATGTTCCCATAAAGGGTGAGCCACAACCCAGTAGAAATATACTAAACCAAATATAAGCATTTAATAAAGCAATAGCATTCAATAGATAGTTAACCAAGATAATCAATTACATCATTATACAGTTTCATGACAGCTCGCTCGAGCGACAAACTCCTCGCTCGAGCGAAGATCCAAAATTCTGGACAACAACACTTGGTTTCTAAACCCAACCAACCTGAAATAAACCTGTCCAACACATCCTATAGGTCCAAATCAGAAAATAAGGGACAACAACAACAATTATACAATGACAGAATCTACGGAACCTAAGTCCGGATACAATAATCAAATGGGGAGAAGACCGGGGTCGCTATATCTTGAATACTGTCATGGAATCTGTGAAAATCCAAATCATCTATAAAAATTTCTACAAAATGTTAGTTACCTCAATTTATTTGGCTGTGGAGCTCACTAGGTTGGAATGTTAAGTATTTGCACGTGCCTTCTCTTCCCATTTTATTTTTTTATTGCATCTTTCTTTTACTTTTTTCCTGTGTGTGTATTTTCAGGGGTGGGGGGATAGGTTCCACAAGATTGATATCCAGCTTCAAGTGTTCCATTTAAGTGCAACCAAAGTTGACATGCTGTTTCAACATCAACCCACATCCAACGCTTTAACATTTTTGCTTTTTTTAAGAAAGCAAAAACGCAGCATGTGTTTGCACAACATTTATTTGTGCATCCGTACACATCAAATTATACACATGAATGAGTATGATTATCTGTACGTACACATGTACATTTATTATTTATACATGCTTTTATGACCACTTATATGCCTATAAGTTCTCACATAAGTATTATACATACCTTTATGCCTATATATACGCATATTTTTCTACATAGAGATGCATCGTAAGTACTTTTATCCATACATATATGCTACACATGTCTTACTAAGGCTTGGTTTGGCATAACTAAAAAAAGCCAAAAAGTCAAAAAGTCACTATCCTATTTAAGTCACATCATCTTATTTAAGTCACATCACCTCTCTACCACATCACTTCAAACCCAACCCATATCCAACCCATATTTCATAAAAGTTAAAAAATGCACTTATTTAGTTTATCCCAAACAATACCTAAATTGATTTTTAAATGTATCCATACCTAATTGTACATTATATGACCACATGCTATTATCAAAAGTAATTTCATATGCATATTAATGAAGATCATGGAAAGAAAAAAAATAGCAAATCTGGAATTTTACATGAAACACATTTAAGACATCAAGAATTAAATATTTGGAATAATTTCAAGTCTTCATATCATTATAGTATGTTTTAGTAATTAAGGGTATAATGGTAATTCCAACAATTGTTAAACATAGGTTGTAGGGGTCGCCCATGGGTTTTATTTTGGGTCAAATTATTAAATGGATCATTATATATGGGTTTTGTTATGTCTAAAATAATTTTAGTAGTCAAAAGTTCAAGTTTTCTATTTTGATATTGAAATAGAATTAGAAATCATTACAGTTTCCTACTATGATTGAAGTAGAATTGGAAGTCATAGCTGGTCTAGATCTAGAATATTAGTAGTTGTTAAATATTTTTAGTTTCTAAATTTGATTTATAGTCCTTATAGAAAAGACCGGGGTCGCTATAAAATATATGTGTAATCTCAATGATTGAGGAAAAAGAGTTAATATTATGAAAATTTAAGATTGTGTTTGTGTGATTGGCATATTCGTTGTGAGGGTGAAGCACCTTTCTCTCTCTCTCTTTTCTTCTTCTTCTATCCAGCAAGATCACTATTCACAGTGCTTAGAACAACCACCTAACAGCCTCTAAACACTTGTGTTTTCATTCCCAAAACCCTACCCCTTTACAAACCCTTAAACTCCTATATTTTTAAATACTTTTGCAGTCACAAACTCCAACCAAATCTAGCCCTATAAGTCTATTATTGTTGCTGCCAGTATAGTTAACCCGAGCTCACTACTTGTAGGAAAGTAATCCATACTCGTCCTACATTAGTTTGGTATCAAAGTGTCAAGATCCTATCTTGTTCGTTACCAATCTTTTGATGAAATTTCTTTCTTTATTACAATGTTGACAAGCATTGAATTAAATTTGAAATTTGAAGCCTCGTCAACAAATTATAGAGCTACTAAGAAAGATGTTTTGATGTTAAAGGAGGATTTTGGGATAATTAAGGAGGATATTGCAACAATAAAGAGTGATGTGCATACTATCCAGACAACTTTGAATGGATTGAAAGCTTTCATGAAAATATTAGTGGCTGTTGCTTTAGAGAAGATTAATATCTAAAAGCAAAAGGATGATAGTGTTGAAGATTTTGAAGAAACTGTAAAAGAGCAAGATGAACATGTTGTTAATATTGAAGATCTTGAAGAAATGAAGGCGAAAATTAATTTGTTTACTAAAGAAAGCATGAAAGATCATCATGATCAAGAATCTAAAGCCAAGAAAGCCAAAGAAAATAATAAGAATGCCACTGAATTTTCTAGTCTTCACAAAAAAAATGAAGTTCACATTGAGTTTGTTATTCCTAATAAATTTGATGTGGTCAATGGAGTGATGACAACATTGAATTTTTTGATTTTCTCATCGTTCATTCAAAACAATCAATTTAAATGTTTGCAAGTGCAAGATTCCATAATCCTCATACTTCAACATTATAAAACTCGAGGTCGAGTTTTTTCGAATGCAAGGGAGAATGATGAG